TTTTTATTATAATTATTCTATTTATGATTCTTTTTTCATTTACATATTTTATTTCTTCTATTATACATTCATTTTATGTAAATTATTATTACTAGAAATTAACTTTAACTATTTATATTATTTAACTAAATTTTATTTTAGTAAAAAATATTATCAGATTGTATTTTTTCTTGTTATAATATTTCACAATAATTTAAATGATATTTGAGATACTTTTATTTCTAAATAAAGAAGGAAAAAAGAAAACAATATGAGATAAACTATTATTTCACAAATTGAAGATGACAACTCACTGCCACGAATGCGTTATGGATTAACTTTAGAAAGGATATTTTATATAAACTAATTTTGAGAGATGAATCTAGAGTTAATATTTTTATCCATAAATTCAGAAATTAAAATAATAGTAAAAGCAAATTATAAATTTAATTTAATATTAATGGTTCATTGTTACACTGCGAATTATCTGGAGAAAAGAAACAACAAACGAAGAAATTCCCAGGAAAAAAGGAGTTCTAACTCTACATCTAGAAATGAAGAAGAGGTGAAAGACAGGATAAAAATAAAATTAGAACAAAGGTTAAGAACTTACGAATATTCTTAGACATATTTAATATTCCAGTTTCTTGTTTTCTGACAGAATGGACGCTAAAGTACTTGCTGGAATTTCTGATGCAAAACTCAAACATGCTGAAACTGTTGATAAAAGTGCACCAGTTATTGAAAATGTAGAAATTAAGAAAGGTGATAGAAATGAACTTCTTAGTGGAATTAAAGAAGGTAAAGAATTAAAGAAAGTTGAAAGTAATGATAGATCTGCACCAGTTATTGCTGCTGATGCTAAAGTACAAGAAAACACTAGAGGTGCTCTTCTTGCTGATATTCAAGCCAAAGCTAAATAAGTTAGATTATAGGATGATATAGTTCTTATTTACTTTTCATTCAATTTTTTATTTATTTTATTTTGTAAAAACAAATTTTTAAAAACAAGATTTAATTAAAATCATTTGTCTTTGATGAATATTTTTTTGCTAACATTGCAACAGAAGATGGTACTGATGGTTTTGGTGGATGATATTTTTTATATTCATTTTCTTTATAACATGAATATTGGTTTTCCATTTCATCAATAGAAATTTGTGAATGTGATGGTTTTAATTTTTGATACGTTTCATTTAGTAATATTTTATGTGGAGAAGATAATTCTGTTTGAGACTTTGTGTTATCTTCATTTATTTTACGTAATGTAGATATTGTTTGTTGTGTTTTGTGTATTTCTTTTTGTTGACTTCTTATTAAACCAATTGAACGTGGAGAATTTGGACATGAAGATGATATTTTTCTTTGATGATTTGGTATATCTTTAAGAGGAATTGTTTTCTTAGGAGATAAGAACGTCTGTTTCTGAGGAGAAATAATTTCTGAATGTTCTACCACTTTTTGTTTTATTTGAAGTACATTTTGACTCAACGTTCTTCTATATAAATTTTTATCTACATCATCAGGAAAAATAGAAGGATAATTTTCTATTACAAATGTAATAAAAGAAATAGATAATGATGTGGATTCCAATGTTTCATTTGGAATATGAATAATTACTGGAGCAATACACACAGCCAAATTTTTTGCATTCATTAAATTAATATCACTATATGTATGAATTTTATAACAAAGTTTCATAAATTGAGAGAACATTGTAAAATGAGAAGGAGGAAGAGATTGAATAAGTGCTATTGCTCCTGATATTTTATCTTTCAAACCATATGTTGATTCTGAAACATTTTTCCATGTCTCTATTAATGTAAGTGCCGTATTAATATCAACAACTGGTTCTATCATTCCTCTCATAAATGATTTTAAAACCGCAGACGTTACTTCAGGTGGGTATTGTTCAAAAGAAGAAAAACTAATAGATACAACTAATTTATCAATAGTATCTTTATTAGCAAGACTATTTTCTCTAAATATACCTTTTGTATAACATCCTTTTGTATATAATATTTTAAATATTTCTTCAATTGCTCTTGGTAACTGATTTACTGTTCTTCCTTCAGCAGTTAATATTGATATTAATGGTTGACTATAAATAATTGTTTTCTCTAAAGAAGGTTCTTCTAATTGAGACTTCTAAAAAATGAATTTTGTATTATATCTCATAACATTAAAATTAAATAAAACAAACAAGTACTGCTTTGTTATACATATCCTGATATATATTTAAATCTGGAATATATGTTTTTCCTAATTCATAATGTGAAACAAATACTCTAAAATAATCAACAAAAAATAATGGAGTTTGAACTTTTAAGTATTCATGAATTTTATGAGACTGAAATGCTGTAATTTCATTTATTTCATTCTTTTTTGCTTCTTTAATTGGTTTTTTTAATTCATCAATTTTGTTATTTATAATTTTGGTTGGTTGTAAGATAAGATCTTGAAACTGTTTTTGTAACATTAAAAACGTATCACAAACTGATCTAAATCCATTCAAAATTGTAGAAAGAGATTGTATATCTATAACTCAGTATTAAATTTTTAGATTATTAAAATATTAACAAACCTATATGAATTGGTTTGGGATTAATTTGGGTAACAAAACTTTCAATATAATTCCCATAACTTATCATTATCCCTGTAAGCTTTTCAATTTCTCCATCAACTGTTTTTGCAAATTTCATTTGTTTTTCCCAAAAACTACAACTTTCATCAATAAGTTTTAGATTAATTTTATAACTCATCATAATATTCTTATTTTTTAGTTTTCTTTTTATATTTTTTTTTAACGAAAAAATCTAAAAATAGTAATAAAAAAACGAAAATCAAGATTTTTTTAGATATAATAAGAATCTTAAATTCAAAAAAAAAAAAGAAAAACTCCTTAAAATTACTTTTTGTATGGACCTTCAAATCCTTCAAAATCAGTTACTAGGAAAAATGGATAGAAGATATACCTCTCAATCATTGAACACCAATTCCAACTGGAAGTTAACCTACCATCAATACAACTTCCTCCATCTGATCCACTTCCATCAAACCCATGTTGGAAAAAGTCACGATAAATTAAAGTTGACCATTGTTCTCTCGTGTATTTTGTAAAAAAATTATCTAATCGTTTATTATCATCTTTAATAATACGTGTAGTTGTCTTTACAATTGGAGCAACAATCCATGGTACTTGTGAATATTTATCAATAAAAAATAAACAGTTTGGAACATCTTGATCTCCCATATGAACTACACTTAAACCTCTCCATCCATCATTACATAGTTTTTGTTTTGTATGTGCTAAAATTTGATGCATAGCTTCAGAGACATTAGGTGCTGATTGCATTCTTTGAAGACCTTGACCAGTATTTACTAAGGAATAATTACTTCCACTAAGAAATTCTCTATCAGTAATATTCCATAATCGTGGCATATTTTGCATAACATTCCACCATAATGTTAAACTTTGACTAACAAAGATAAATTGTTCTGAATGGCTATGACTTATTCTACTTCCTCTAACACCCCACTTAATTGATAAATCAGTAAATGGTGTTGATTCTTGATATCTTGTTTTAAGATCATGTAACATTTGATGAACAACACCACACATAGATGCAGCAGATGCAAACCCATCTGAAATACTTAATAACATTCTTTCAGTTTTACCTCCATATTTTGCAATAATTTCTTTTCTAGCATTTTCTCTTTCAATACCACTTCCTACAGCAGGTAATACAGCAACTCTAAATTTTGGTTCATTGAAGACATCTTCTAAATGATTTTCTTTAGCAAATAAACCAACAGTAAGTATTTCTTTAAACTTTTTTGTTTGTTCAAATTCTGGACCAATAAAACTGGGGTTATATAAAATAGCATCTTGAAGAATATGCATCATTTTTTGATATGTTGTTCTCATTAAATGTGGATTACTGATTTTAAATCGTCTTCCAACTTCAAAACAATTTTGAATACATTCTTCCAATAATGCTGGATTATGTAACAACTTAATACAATCTCTATAACTATTTCCCATTAATAACCCAATAATAATTTGTTTTAATTCTTGGTGTTGTTCTTTAATAATTTGCTGTTTCGTTCTTTTATTAATACTAACATCTCTTTGTGAATAATAACTATAACTACCAAAATAATACATCCCATAATCAGACCGTGCTACATCAACGTTATCAGTATATTCACTTACGTCTAAAGCAGAATCAAGTACCTCTAATAATATCCTTTCTTTTTCAGTAAGTCTCATGGGATGATATTTAATATAATGTTTAAATAAAACATCAGGAATCTTCATTAAATGTTCTCGATATGTTATTTCATATTTATTTTCATCTCCTTCTTCAATTAGTTCTTCTGTTCTATTACCTTGTTTTATGTAATTGTCTTCACCATAACTATTGATATCTCTTGACTCATCTTCATCCCAACTAACTACGTTTCCCATTGGTTCCATTTACTTTTTTGAGTTTTTAGTTTTTGTGGGTTTTCTCTATTTTCTGTTTTAACAAATAAATAATGTTATAATTAATTGTAACGTACTATAAAAAAAAGCTCTATATTACCAAAGAACTTAGCCAATCAAGAAAGAAATGATATAAACTTTATAACTTAAAGTAAATTTATTTTGAATAGTTTGCTAAGAGTTAAGTAATAATAACAAAAATAACAGAATAATTAATATCACTATTAGTACAAAATGAATAATTCTTAGAATATTAAAAATTCTATACACTTAGATTTAAGTCATAGATAAATGCTTCTAAAACAAGAAAACAAAAAGAATAATTAAATTGAATGACCTAATGTATAAAAGTTCAAAAAATTTATACTTATTTAGTTATTCTAATTAATATATTTTATTGATATACATATGAAAATAAAGTCGTTGTAAAAATGTATCAAAAGCACCTGGAAGACATAGTCTAATTTGTTTAATATAATATGAACTTGACTCTCCAGGTAAAATCTTTGAAAGTACTCCTGCTGCAAATAATCCAGTCCTTCCTTTCCCGCTATTACAATGAACTAATACAACCTCACCATTTTCTAGTACTGTTTTAACTCTATTTATCATTGAATCATATAACGCTCTATTTTCAGGAATCCAATAATCAACCATTGGACAATGAAGATAAGTAATTCCATGAGACTCTAACACTTGTTGATAACCATTCATATTTAATCGGGTAAGATCATTATTTGTTAAACAACATACTACTGTAGTAATGCATTTATTTGTCAATTGTTGAATGTCATTCTCTAATACCCTTCTTCTAAAATGATTTGTAGAACCTGGTGCATATGAAAAATACATTACCCCATTACTTGACATATCCTCTGTTAATTGAGTAAAACCAATGTCATCTGTAGATATATTATTTGGTGGTTTAGAATATGTCTTATTCAAAAACAATATGTAGCAAACAAAACAATATACTGTGAAATAAATAGAAAATAAGGAATGAAGTAAGAAGAAGATATCAATAATTAATGTTAGTATAATAATAATTATCATTATCCATGTATCAAATGACTATATTGAACGTTAATATTTTTTGTAGATAAACACAACAAAGAACAAACATCTAATGAAAATAGTTGTAAAAGTGAAAAAACAACTGGGACAATGTTTAAATATCCCAATAACACAATTATTATTAAAACCATTTTAAATAAATGGTTCATAATTTTGATAGAACCAAATGAAATTAACAGACTATACACAATCGTATAACAACACAAAAGTATTGTTCCTGGTTTGTTATCTTCAATTTGTTGATCAAATAAATCAGTAGAAAATCCAACAATTATAATACCTACAGAACAAATAAATTCAATGAAAGCAATAACAGAACAAATAAGAGTGATAACAACCATTAATAATTTGAGATTCAAATTATCATAAAAGAAAAATTTTTTTGTAAATAAAACAAAAATTATTTTTTGTTATTTATTGGTTTCTATTTAATCTTAAAATCTAAAAATAATAATCTTAAAATAAACCCTAAAAAATTACTATCTAACAATAAAAATATTGTTATATAAAAGAAAAAATAATTACTCAAAATATTTGTAAAAATCTATCTTAGGCTTTTTTTATCTAAATGAAGAGAACTGAATAAGCTAAATTATATATAAATATGGGAAGAAGTACATCTTCAAGTAGTTCAAGTAGTGAGTCATCTTCTTCTAGTTCATCAGCTTCTTCTTCTTACTCAGAAGAACGGTACTCTCGTGATAAAAAAGAAAAGAAAAAATCTGAAAAGAAACCAAAAAAGGAAGGGGCACGTGAATTAAAAAGAAGAAAAAAAGAAGAAATTGCAACATTAAGTAAAGAAATTTATACTATGTTTGTTAAAAGAAGTCTTTTGGCTTCTGGTTTGTCTGAAGAAGAAGCTGAAAAAAAAGTTGATAAAAGGTGGAAAAAAGCAGGACATGAAGTTAAAGTTGTTTATGAACAATTAGCATATATTGAATCAGTATTAATTGGAAATGCTGCTGTAATGAAAAAGAAACGTAAAGCAGATACATCAAGAAGAAAAGAAGATTGGCATCCTTATCTTTTATTTTGTAAAGTTAAAAGAGATAGTGTTGTTAATGATGGCATTAGTGGAAGTGCTGTAATGAAAAGGTTATCAGTGATGTGGAAAAATCTCAGTGATAAAGAACGAGAAAAATATACAGTTTTAGCAAAAGAAAATAAAAGAAAGGATTTAGAAAAAGAAGCAAACGAAGAAAAAGCCCTTACTACTTTATCTTCAAGAATTATTACTAATGATCTTAACACCCCTTCTTCCCAACAAAATCTCACTATTCCTGTAGTATCTGCTTTACCTATCCCAATGAATATTGTTACTGAAATTAATTTAAATGAAGAAATGAATCTTTCTATTCCCTCTAGACTACCTCCTACAACAATACAACCCCCTTTACAGCCTTCTCTTCAAGCCTCTATTCCTAGAACTATAGCACCACCTGCACCCTCTAGTTCAATGTCACAATGAAAAGTGTTTAATATTCATCTCATAAATAATTACATATTATTTATATTAATAAATTAAATTATTTTTGGTTATTCATTATAATAATAAAAATAAAATATATATTAAAATAATTGGTAAAAACAAATTAGCCACGAAAAGCCAACACAAATATTAAAATATGGTTTTCAGCTGAACTAATTAATTCAGTTAATTATTTTTTTATGGTAGAAGAAGTTCCTATTGTTCTTGATATTGGTTCTTACAGTATAAAAGCTGGAACTGCAGAAGATGAAGCACCATCTTGTATTATCAGAAACGTTATTGGAGAACATGAAACTGGAAAGATTTATGGAGAAAGTGTTTTTAATAATAACATCAAAGACTATCATTATCCCATTAATAGGGGAATGATCTCTGACTATGATGACATTGAAGGAATTTTACGATTTGTGTTTGATGAAAATATGGGTGTTGATGCTTCAACAAGACCAGTTATTGTTACAGAAGAAGCTCTATGTCCAAATTTAAGAAAACAAGAATATGGTGAATTATTCTTTGAGAAGTTTGAAACCCCAGGGCTTTACTTTGAACTAACTGGAAATTGTGCCTTAATTCCACTTGATCTTGAAACTGGACTAACTGTAGACTTTGGAGAAAGTTTTGTTAGTATTTTCCCATTCTATAATGGTACTTACATTTTTAATGCAAGTGATAAACAATGTTTTGGTGGATTAGATTGTTCTACTCATTTAGCTAGTATTTTAGCACAACAAGGATATACTCTTAATATTGATAAGGATAGAGAATTATTGAATACTATTAAGGAAAATTACTCAGTTGCTAGACTTGATGGGGTTGAAGATACTATCAAAGAATATACTCTTCCTGATGGCAAAGTTATTTCCATAAATTGTTGTGATGTTATTGAACCATTAATTGTTCCAATGTCAATTGATAAAAAGAACGAAATGCAAGGTGTTGCAAAAATGATTGTTGATTGTATTATGAAATGCCCAATTGATTGTAGAAGTGATTTATTTGGAACAATCAACTTGATTGGAGCTGCTTCTAAGTTAAAGGGAATGGGAACAAGAATTAAAAACGATATTATAAAGATTCTTAAAGATCAAGGAAATAATGCACATGTAAAAGTTAATGTATTTGATAATAGTGAGGTACTTGCATGGTATGGAGCTGCTTGTACAGGTGCTTTATCCTCTATTGTTGAAAGGTATTGTACAAAAGAACAATATGATGAAAATGGTTCCTTCTTTGTTTCCCAAATGTTTGCTCGTGAAGGATAACTTTTGAATTAAAATACTTTTTCATTAATTTATTCTCTTATAAAAATAATAAATAAACGAAATAACAATGTTCGTAAATTATTTTCTGTTGATGTATAATAGTCTTATAAATTTAAAGACTCTTTAACTCATTTAACTTTGACACATTGAATTATCTTTTTAAATTGAAATAAAAAAGATATGATAGACAAAATTTTACCTGTTTATTTGAAAAAATTGAACTTCAAAATACCAAAAAACAAAACTTGTCCATGAAAAGAACAACAAAACCAGAGAAAGGTAAACAAGAAGAAATGAATAAACTAAATAAATTAAAAGAAGAATTAAGCAAAAGTGAAAATGATATAAAAATGAAGAAAGCAGAATGTGTAAGAATAATGACTGATTATGATATTGAATTAAAATTTCTTAATGCAAAAATACAGTATCAAATTGGTACAGATCAAAATGAATTACAAATGTTAAACGATAAAATAAGAGAATACAAAGAACAAATTAAACAATTAAACGAACAAATAAATAAATTAAATGATAATGCATTATCTCCTTCTTTTATTCAACTAAAAGAAGATGAAGCTGAATTACATAAAGAAATAGAAAAAGTTTGTTTATTAAAATTACTATTCATTTGGATGTATTTTATTTATTCATTAGCTCAAAAAAGAAAAATCAGAAAAAGAGCTTCAAAAAAAAGAAAATAAAATGTTAGTAAGAGAAATTGATGGAAAATATGAAATTGTTGAAAATGAAGTTTGTTAAAATGATATATTAGACCTAAAATGAAAGAATAAAACTTATTTCATTTAGAAATTTAAAATATCTCAAGAAATTCAAAATACTAAACAATGTGTAATGAAACTTGAAAATCTTAAATGTGCTTTAGAAGCAAAAACTAATTGACTCTTACTAATTCATTGAATTATATTCTTTTAACAAAATATTCTCTCAATTAAATATGCTGTTTTGAATTATTTCATAATAACCTATAACTCTTTTTCTTAGGTATTAATTTTTAGTCATTAATTATATATTTCTTATATTATTTAAATGAATTAGT